ATTTCTTCTTCATTTATCTTTTTTACACACCCATCCGCTTTAAGTTCATTATATAATTCTAAAAGACGACGTTATATTATTATAAAGATGATTAAATAATTAATTAATTTACCTTCATATGGTAAAAACAATTTTGTGTTAAAGCTGTTCCAATGTTTCTTGGTTTTTAAACAATCCGATATGAAGTCTTGCGATATAACATGCAAGTGTAATTGACGCATACTTGGATCTCTATGAAATCCCAATTTAAAGTCTTCTAGTTTGAAATGTTTCACTTCAAGTACATCAATAGCAAGCATATGCAATTTATCTAGCAATTGTAAATGATCCTTTGTTAACTATTATAAATAAAAAGTTTATAATATATGGATTATCTTAATAAATTCTTATATATGTGATTGTGATTAAAGCAATAACACAAATCCAGGGATAATGTCTTACAGGGATAATAAATTTTTAAAAACCAGCATCTACTATCATTTCAGTAGAACTTATCCAATATATAGATTCTTTTTTAAATCTACCGCCTTTAAACAATCTTTTTGATTATAAGAGCTTAGTCAATATTTTGTTCTATGAGGAAACATCTATTAACGTCAAGCTTGACGTCATTTTTTTGAATCTCATTGCTTAAAGAATAAACCTTTTACTTACATTGTATATAGTGGGTATATTCTCTTTTGGTAGCACTAAAAAATGGTTTTTCGCTTTGGGATATCTATCTTCTATCACAACACCAAAATCAGAAGAAAGTACATGATCTTTCACTTCCCTCACAGTTTTCATTAAGTCTAGACATACTAATTTCCTTTTAGCCATATTCATCAATATTACTAAAACAAATTTCAACAAAATAATTTACTGCACTTAATTCCACAAAAGTTTAAATGTGAGAATACACTGAAAAAACCAAAACTGGATAATTAAATTGAAAGTGTAGCCTCTAGGTAAAGAAGGTGCAGTTAAACTACACAAATGTCATGTTTGTGGCCTTTAAGGGCTGCTGTGTAATTATTTCTAAAAAACTACAAGTTGTTATATGTCAATATGTCAATACCGTGTGCGAGTTTTTTTTTTTTATTGAATCACTTAAAAGGTCTAACAATAATTATTTAAATCTTACATACTAAAACATTCATTCAAAGTTTATGTCACTACTTAAACTTTCTTTGTTTAAAACGTAAAGATTCTTAATTTTTGATTTTTAAAGTTTTTAACTTAATGTGGTAATACATTTCAGATGCATTAAAAGCATGCCGGTAAATCTGGTCTTTTGAGACGGGATATATTTCTTGTTCTTGTAAGATATTGAGCGAGTGGGTTTGGATGTACCATTATTTTAGTGTCATATTTCTGCCGTAGGAGGATTAATTCGTCTTTGACTAGAGGCACTTGAAGGTTCATATGTATGATAGAATTTCTGAGGAACCAAGGGGATCCTGTTAATAACGAAGTATTTTTGACTGACTGCGCTGTATAACATCGATGTTTGACGCGCTGGCTTTACCCCAGAGTTGGGCCCCGTAAGTTCATATGGGCTTAATCATAGTTTTATATAACAGGACTTTATGAACAAGCTGTGATCTTGAATTTTTATTGAGTAGCCAATTCAACTTAAGGAACCTTAATTTTATTTGTGTTTTTTTTTGCGGCTATGTGTTTTCATGTCAATCGTCGGTGTAAATGAATACCAAGATATGTAATGCTTTGGGATGCTGATATAACGACGTTATTGAGTGTTACGGGTGGACAAGTATCTTTTCTAAGTGTAAAAGTTATATGTGTACTTTTTAGCTTATTTACTTGTATGCGCCACTTGGATAGCCAGTTTTGGACGTCCTTGAGATGAGCCTGTAGTTTGCAACTCGGTGGTCTTATTCAATTGTACTGTGTTTATGACGGAAACCAAATTGGTGAGTTGGAATGATGTAATTTTCTTCATTGAACGGGAGAAGCTTTGTTAACAATAATTTTTCAAATAGCTTAGAAAGGGTTGGCAGTAAGCTAATTGGTCTGTAGGAGGTTATTTATGTTACATCCTTGCCAGGTTTTGGGATCATTGTGATTTGAGACGTTTGCCAAGCGAAAGGAAAATATCCGACTCTAAACATTGCGTTGAATAAAAAAGAAAACATTTTTATAGCAATACCCGTAAGCTGAGATATCATTTCATTGGTTATAAGATCATGAGCAGGAACTTCCTTTATTTGAAGTCAATAGTTTTCTTGATCTCATTAGGACTGACTTTTATTGGATTATTTATTGCATTTCTAATGCTGGCATTAATTTCTAAATGACCAGTAGATGAGTTGGGTATAAAAACCGTTTGCAGGTGTTCAGCAAAAGCTAAAGCTTTTTCTTCGTTACTCCTTGCCCATTTTCCGTTTCCCAAACTAAACCGCCTTAAGGGTGGTTTAGTTTCTTTTGGGCCTTTTAACCGCTTAGTGGTTTTTCATAATGACAAATTATCTTTTCCGGAAGGGGAGAGGTTTTCCGTAAATTTTTGTATATTTTTATCCAGTTCTTTATCTAAAGTTTCTTTTAATACTCTTAACTTAGCTGCTTGATAAAACATTTACTTTGCGGATGGAGATCTAGTTCGTTGCCATTCTCTTGGTAGACGCCGTTTTTCTTTTAAAAGTTTTTCAATTAGAGCGGATATCCTTTTTGGAGGCTTTGGGTCGGGGTCATGCATGTTGGGTGTTGCGTGCACTGCAGCTGCGGTTATAACAGTCGTAAGATCATACAAGGCGAAGTCTATATCTATCTCTTTTCTGAGCTTGGGTTTAAAGTTTATGTGACTTAACAGTCACATGTATGTATTTTCGGAACTTCATCCAGTTAGTTTGTTTGGATGTAAGCTTAAATGATTTTCCGTAACAGAGTGCTTTATTTGAAACAGTTATCAGGACAGGCGAGTGATCAGAAGACCATTCGCAACAAGTTTCAGAATTTATAATGTTTCGGTCTATGCCTCTGACAACACCAAAATCAATTAGATCAGGAATTTTACATGAGTCTGGAGGCCAATAGGTTGGTTGACCTGAAGAGGTAAAATCAAGGTTCATTGGGCGATTTGATAACGCTAAGTAGAAGACTTTGCCTATAGGATTAAAAACCCGTTAGCCCCAGTGTGTGTATTTAGCACTATAATTGCCTGCAGCTACATACTTTTTGCCAAGTGTTTTAAAAAATTCGATAAATTGCGTGTGAGTTATATTAAACCTGGGTGGGCAGTAAACTGACGATGTCACTATATCTTCGTTCCAGCATTCAAGATAAATGGACGTGGCCTGCAAATAATCCTTAGCAAATTCTTCAATTGCTTTTGATTAAAACTACTGTACCTCCCCGAGCCTTGTCGTCTGGGTAATTAGTGTGATAAAATTTATATTCAGGTATAGAGAAGTGATTTTTATTTGTTAAATGAATCTTGGATAAGAGTAAGACGTCTATTTCATTTGTGTTTAGGAATAATTGGATTTCACGCTTTCTTTGGCTTACGCCATTGCAGTTCCATTGACATATTTTTATGGAAATTATTTAGAAACGATAGAGTTTAGAAGTTGCTGCTGAGTTTTAAGTAGTTCATGGAACATCGATTGCATTGAAATCATAAGCTGATTCATTTGTGAAACAGAGTTTTTTAATTCATCACCGTCTGTAGAGTAGGGTTTTCCGATTGAGTAATATTGCTTGGTATGTTAGAAGAATTTTTCATAACGTTTGCGTAAGTTAATTCTTTACTGTTTGTTGCTATAATAGAAGCGGCTTGATTTGTTTGGGGAAATTGTTCATTGGTATATACGAAATTTCTTTGCGAGATGTTAGGTCTATTGGTAATTTTATTTTTCAAGTCTTTGAAAACGGGGCATCCTTGGCAGTTATTGCATTTAATAACAACATTATTTCCATTTTTAGCTGGATAATTAGACGAGGCATGCAGCTCTTTTGGTGTGTCCATATTCGAGGCAGTTATTACATTGAACTATATTTGTACGCTTGTGTGGCTCTTCAATGGTTATTTTTCTGTGCAATAAATAGCGAAGCTCATATATTGGGTGAATTTTGTTTTTTCCACATTTGCTGCTTTCTGGTTCTAATTCAATTTTAAAGAAAGTTTGCGGAATTTTGTTTTTTTTTGACTTTAAAACCGGCTAAATGCAAGGTTTTTTTGAATTCGTCTGTGCTTACATTAGATTCGACGCCTTTTAAAACAACAACAAGCCCTTTACTGCTTTCCAGTTGGTATGTGTAAAAGTGTTTCTTATTTTTTTCGAGTAGATCTGTTACGATACGAAAATAATTTTCGGCATACACTTGTATTTTTGTTTCATCTATGTTGACTTTCTTGAGGAGGACTACGTGAAGGGTTTTTATTTCCAATATCTCATACGAGAATATGGTCAAATTATTAATTTTTTTTTGGGATGTTCAACTGGGTGTTGCGATTTTGGGGTCTCAGCTTTCGCTTTTTACTAACAGCTGTAATGTAGCGGTCTGTGCTGGTCTGTATGAACGCACCAGCAGACTTTTCTTCGCTTGCTGTCATATTGATCTTTTCGGTACTTAGATCAGTGGGGTCGTAAGCTTTTTGTGATAACGTATTCGTTGTTCTTGTTGTTGTTGATGTTGATGGAGTAACAGTGATTGGAATTTGTTTTGCCGATAGGATATTGTTAATTGTTGTTGGTATCGTCTTATCATCACTTGCCAATTTGCTACGTATACGGGGAGGAGTTCGGTGTAGACTCATGTAGTAATTTATGTACAAACGTATGTACAAACAGCACCTATAATTATTGTTTAGCGTCTTTTTGGCTTATATTGTATTAAAAAGAAATTATTGTATTAATAAATTAAATATTAAATAAATATTAAATTAATATTTAATTATTCAATATTAATAATATAAGTTTTAATTTTACTTAAGAATTTTTCAATCAATATTTTAGGCGTCCTTTTGCGTATTTATTTATTTCATTTATTTAACATAAGTTTGTTATTTAGCTATATAATTACACAGTGGCGTCGCTAGGCGTCAGCCATGTCGGCGACTGCCGACGGCCTCGCGCTCACGGGGGCCTCGCAAAAAAGTTACCGACTGTGGATTCTAAGCACTTAATAAATATTTTGAACAATTTGGTTTTATAATGGCGTTTACCGTATTCAAAGTGTTCCCGAATGTTTATATAGTAACCAGATTCATGTTCACAGTTCCAGTCAGTATAGCTTCGTGGAAAGAAGCTTCTCAAAGTTAAAATTGATTGAGACGTACTAGAAAAGTATGATAATCCAAGAGAGACTATCTCCATTGGAAATTCTATAAACTGAAACAAAAATAGCCCGCGTGCCCCTGGGGGAGGCCCTGTCCTGTCTTGAAAAAAGGTGACCCGACGATTTGCGCCAACTATCGCGGGATTAGCCTAATACCTGTCGCGTACAATGTTCTTTCAACTGTACTGTGTGAAAGATTGAAGCCACATGCCAACTCACTGATTGGACCTTATCAGTGCGGCTTTCGACCTGGTCGCTCCACCATTGATCAGATATTCACACTACGACAAATCCTGGAAAAAGCCCACGAACATAACATCGACACTCATCACCTTTTTGTCGATTATAAAGCAGCTTTCGATAGCCCTATTAGGGATCGCGTTTACGCCGCAATGTCTGAGCTCGGTATCCCTGCAAAATTAATTCGACTTTGCAGAATGACGCTGAGTAATACCCGTAGCTCCGTCAAGGTAGGATCGAGTCTCTCTGAACCTTTTGATACCGTGCGAGGCTTCAGACAAGGTGATCCCTTATCATGTGACCTCTTCAATTTCGTCATGGAAGTGATCATGCGCAGGGCAGGTGTTCATCGTAATGGAACAATATTCTACAAATGTGTCCAGCTCCTTGCTTACGCCGACGACATAGACATCA